TCACTCATGGTTTGTGGAAGCCCTAAACGTGTGTAATCACTAAAGGGAGAATTGAAAGTAAGTTTCAATTCACAATCGATTTGAAAGAGTTCTAATCGCCCACTGCCTCGCTAAAAGGAACCTAATGGATCGTACACCGTGTAAGGTGGAGATTGAAGAAACAATGGAGATGAGTAAGAATGATTAAATGGTTTGATTATTTATTTATGGCAAGGATGAATTAATATGTTAATTAGTCAAACGAATAAAGTTCGTTAAAAGACCACGGGTTAGTTTTGGGCCTCAAGGCCCAATGGGCTTCGAACGTCAAGTCCATTGACTTAAGTTGTATGACAACTTAATTCACAAAGGCCCAAAAGCCCAAACAAAACCCCATGACCGGCCATTTAGAGGAAGGGTAGTGAACTTCCTTTAATTACAAGTTTGCCACTCAAATGAATAAAGGTATAAAATATGACTTTATAGCCAAAATTCATTTAGGGTTTGTTTTTTGAGAAAATTGGAGAGAACATGTCTCTCCATTTCTCTCTAAAGAGGCCGGCCCCTTGGAGGGTGTATCTAGCCATACTAACTACTCCAAGGTCACTCATTTTCTTCTCCAATCTCTCCTTGGTGTGGAGACTTAGAGGTTCTCAATTTTGGGAACTTGGAGAAACCTTTTCATTATCCATCCAAATCCATAGATTTTAGATGCAAGGAATGAAGGCCCTCTCTTTGGGTGATTAGCCTTTGCTTATGCAAAGAGGAATCTACAAAGGTATATATTTCTCAACTCACTTTGATTTGAGTTGAGTCTTGGTTCACCAATCTACTAGGCTTTGAATTTCATGGTTAATGTTTTGTTTTTAAGTGCATGCAAGCATGATTCCGCCTTTAATTGTTAATTGCATGCTTATTGATGTTGCTTAAATGAACATGTTTTCACAAAATATTCCTTCAAGGTTTTGGTGAGTATCTCCTTATATGCACCTGTATTTTGAGACTCGTGTATGCATTGCATGTGCCGAAAGAGAACCGACGACAACAACTACCATCTCTTAATCATGAAAACATTATGTGACAACTTTTTAAGTTGTACACATGATGTGAGAATTACTTAACACACAAATTAAACCCTCTTTTTGACAATTGTAGTATAGATGTAAGTAGGGTATCGTTCTAGGCCGGGGATTAGGAGGGATTGCTAATCTATTCTAAATTAATTTAAAAATATTAAACAAGACTCAAGGACACAAAACTAGGCTAAAAACTCTAATAACTCGAAACACACTTAGAATGACTCAAAATAATGAAAACAATCAAATTAGACACTAGGAACTGAAATGGACGGAAATTGAATTAAAAGACTAACAACAATGAAAACTAACTAAATAATATAATTTAATAATGGGGGGGGGTTTGGTTTTGACGAGAAATAAATTAAACTTAAATAAATTATAGAATTGACAAAAGCATGAAATTAAGGTGAAAGGATAAGTGACGGACTAGCTAGAGGGTTCTTCTCCACACATGACACATATGCAACCTAAATTGATTTTCAGTTGTTCCTTCAATAAATTGTAAATCTCAATGTTCCAAGTTAATTAGGTCCGCTTAAATTAACTCTTAGATTTCCCTAGATTCATTGGATTGAATGGAATACGCATTACAACCAAATTATTCCTCATCAAAGTCCCTAACTATGGAATACGCATGATAGAGACATTCAACAAAGATGATTAAGTTCAACGGAAATCATAAACATTGACTAGGCATTCATAACTATGGAATACGCATGATATTCTTGCCAAGAATTCACTTAACACGATTGTGGATAACAACCTTCACTACTTGTGAATATAAGTTCATAACGATTAGGTGAAATTCACTTATATTCTAGCATCAAATTCATGCATGTAAATTAAGTATGCATTCTTAATCGACATACAAAAATAAGTTATCAATCAAGCAGTTAAGCAAATTAAATCACAACTCAGAATTCACAACTGAAGGTAATCAATTCATATTACAAATATATTCATGGCTTTGAATTAACCTCTAGCCAAAATAGAAATTAGTTCCACATGTTTAACATAATTGAACAGCAAGTTAAATTAAACATGAACATAGAATTAAAAGAAGAAAGAATTCCAAACACTCTAATAGTTGCAGATTGCATAGGCACGGCACTACTCCTCCTCTCCTTCAATGGTGGCGGCACAAGGTGGTTATGGTGGTTGAATGGTTGGTTATATGGAGGAATGGATGGGGAAGGTTTAGATATGTAGGGAGAGGCAAGGGAAGGCTTGGAGAATGGTTAATTTCTGGATGATTTGAATGAGGTTGCTGCCATGGTATTTATAGGAAAAGGATGGACTTGTTTAACACAAAATTTTGGTGGAATTGAGTAGGTGAGCATGGCAAAGAGTGGGAATTGTTGGTGGGTTAGGTATTGAGTCATCCATTCACATGTCATGGTGAGTTAAGCATTGCATCATCCACTCACATGTCATGGTGATTTAAGCATTGCATCATCACTCAAATTTCTGGTGAAAGTGAATCAATGCCCACGGCATTGAAGAATTTCTTGGTTTTGAGTGAAGTTTTGGTCAATCCTTCTAGAAATTTATCCCTTCTTGCAACTTATATTTGTTTCACCAGATTTTTAGCATGTTCATAGCCTCTTTTGTCTTCAAATTCGTCCATCCTCATGCCTCCATGCTTGCACAATCCAATCTTGGCCCAAAAATGCTCTAGAATGTTCCAAATTGCTTCTTTTTGCATACTTTGACACTAAAACCTGAAATTGCACGAAAATAACTTTAAACACTATAATTATCATAGTTTAGCTAATTAAAAGCAAGAAAACAAGCTAACTAAGTCGTATAAATATGCTCCTATCAACACACTCAAGGGAGAGTACTGTAAATACTATTTTATTTTTAGTGTGATTTTGTAAACTTAGAGTAGTAATCCCAATATAATATGAATATATATCAAATTCTCATAAGCTTTGTATTAATTGTAAGGCAAGAAAGTCGATCATTATTAGTATAAATAAAGTCATTAGATATAAGGAAAGTGACACATAATTTACCAACGTTCTTCTCTCTTTCTCTCTTCTTTAGTTGGCCGTCTCTCTATTCTCTCCCTCAATAATTAGTTTCATAACAGTAGTTGAATTGTATACATTTTTTTAGAGAAGTACGAAATTGATTGATATAAGATAAAACCGTACAAAGCGGAGGATAGTGTGGTTAAATGGGCCTTCATAAAAACCTTGTTAGGGTTTTCAACCTGGTTGAAAGGAAAAAGAGCATCCCGCACGAACAACTAACTTTACCTATCCTCACACCAAGAGAGAAAACAAACAAAATTATAAAGAGTTGTCTTCAATAAGAGTATCCAACAAAAGCTCAGGAGCAGTTGCTCTCCATTGAAATTCATTAGGCTTGGTTTGGTATTGTTGTGCTTTGAAAAAAAACTGCTTCTGCTGTGCTATGAGAATAAGTAGATGTGAAATAAAGCAGCAAAGTGCTTGGTAAACTTTTTTTGTAAAAGTGCTTTTGGAAAAAGAAAAAAAAAACAGTATGATAGTGTTCGGTAAGCTTTTATGTAAAACAGTTGTAAATGTATGAAATGACCAAAAAATGTATAATACTGTATTATTATTATCATATTTTATTTAATATTACTATCATAATAATAATAGTAATATTAAATAATATGTTTTATGAAATAAACAGTCGATGCCTCATATCTCGATTTCAATCTCCGCCGAAGATCCAATCCCCAAAACCCCAAACACTCTCTGTAATTCCATCGCCATTGACGACCTCCGCCAATTGCACCTCCGAGATCCCCTCGCCGGCCCTGTTATCCTAGTCGTCGTTGGTTCAATTTCTTCACTCGGTGCATTCGAAAATGACTTTTCTGCATTTGTTGAAATGGGAACCGTGCCTTCTATGCCGCGCTGGGGTAGCAGAAGCAGCTTCGCCGCGCTCCCACTCTGCTCCCGGCAACCTAGAAACCCAGAAACCTGATTCCACTCCTCCCTCACTCGCCGCAAGGTTGTAGGAAAGACCTCCCCGTCGCAATGTTCCTCTGCGAATTCGTGGTTTCTCATAACACACAATTTTCCTTTGCTAATTATGATTTAGTTTCAAGCACATTTGATATAACAACTTTGGTTAATTTGTGATGATAGCAGTCTAGGGCTCTCCTCCTGGAGACCCTTGTGGGTCTCTGGTGGTGATGATTCAGATCTTCACGGTGAGGGACGAGGTAGATTCACAGTAGGGGCGACACAAATCTTCAAAGATCTTTGGTAGAGATGAAGCTGGGAGGAGCAGAAAGGGGATGATAGAGATGAAGGAATGGTAGGATTGCCAAAAACTTTCATTAAAGGGTCACTATTCATCAGTGTTTGAGAGGTTTGCGTGGAAGTTGAAAAGTCAGTTTTTCAAAGTTGTCTTTTGTTGCTTCTGTCTTTTGGTTTTTTTTATCCAAAATTATGAAAAAAAGTTGAAGTTGGAAGTTTACCAAACACAAAAATGCCTCCAGTTTTTTTTTATACCAATTTTTTTCTCAATCCTGCCAATCCCAGATCAAGCAAGTCGATGTGCAGCGGAATTGGCCTCCTTTAGAGGGGGAGCACTGTAAATATTATTTTATTGTTAGTTGAATTGTATATTTTTAATTATTTATTTTTTTTGTGTGGAAGACACAAGAGGAAAACGCTAGTCCATTACTCACACCTCCCGAAAATTAAAGTCAACAATTCTTGGCTTCTTTAGGTCATAACTACAATCATTTATGTATCTGATTTGATATTTGTTTAGAAAAATGTTTGAAAGACTAAATTTTATAAATTAAATCTAAAAATGGTAAGGTTAACTATACAAGTAAGTCTCATTATATGGTCTCCCAAACATTTGTTTTTTTAAATGTAACTTTTCCTTGGTTAAAGTTTTATTTATATAATTTTGAAATCCGTGAAGTATTCCCCCATTGGCCAAGCTTGAAAAAGACGCGTTCTAACCCTTATTTAGCTTTACATCAGTCTTATACATAATATATGTATCATATATAAATAAGGAAAGATGCATAAATCTTACATGTATATATATGTGTATATCATTAAAAGTCTGCGACTTCAGTTCGATCGAAATAGCAGCCGGAAGGGCCTCTATGGGGTATAAGAGCCAACCTGACCAGACCGGCAGCCCCTTCTTCGACAGTCATGGTCCCTGTATGCCAATTGAGGTCTGTATTGACAAAGCCAGGATGCACACAGTTGATGCACATGTTTGGGTACTTGTTGGCAAGGATTCTAGTGTAAGCATTGAGGGTGGCCTTGGAAATGCTATATGCAGGCAGCATCATTGTCCATCCATTCGCTTCGAGTTCGTTTTGTTTAAAATCATGCAGAAATCTTGCCAAAACTGCATCCACTTTCTCCTCTGTCAATGTTTCTACATCCCCGAGCTCATTTCTTATCTCTTCACTTGGTATCCTCTGCATAGTATTTGATAACTTTGATTAGGAAATTTAAAATTTTGTTTCATCGTGTGTTGCTATAGCTAGGACATTGAAGGAGATCATATTGATTGAGGCTTATTTCTGGGCATCAACAAGTTAATGAGAGGAGAACGACTATTGTCGATGAATGGAATATAACATCGAGTAAATCTTCTCTTGCCAGACTCGTCCAGATAATGAACATTAACCTTTGTTAGATAATTTTTGTTTCATTGTGTATTTTTACCTTGAGTTCACTCCTTAGGGAGGAGACATTGACGATTCTTGCTCCCAGAGTGGAGAGTTGCAAGAGTGGGAGAAGAGCCTCGGTTAATCTTTTAACACCGTAGTAATTTGTATTCAAACATTCCTCAGCCTTCTCATAAGTGTATTTAATTGCACATTGAATTTGGTTGACTGCTTTGCCTGAAAGCTGAACAAACAACTTCTTGTAGTTAAAAGCTGCTGCGAATCTTGGTTGTGGTGTGGCGACATATATATAGTATATTTGTGAGAAGACCTAAGACCGACACCTCAAGACGTCACTGTGATGTCTCAGACTAATAATACGACTTTATGTATTCTTAGTATCCCATATGGTGTTGTGTAATTTATTTGAGACACCACCATGGCGTCCCTATTTCATGCATGTGCTTCTCATGAGAAATATACTGCTATATAACTTACCCAAGTTGTGGAGTCAATGTCTAGAGATTTTAAATCTTTCTCAGACACCAGTACTCCAGTAGCTCCAGCATTATTAACCTGCAGAAATCAAATGGTTAATTTAAGTTATACCCACAGATTTTCACTCAATATTTTGGAGGCCAACAAGTACTAGCACAATGTTAATATGTTTGTACATTGGAAATGTACCTATTGGCCTAATATAGGGCTAATAAACAAGTTATTTGGCGCACAGGAACCTTTATTTCTTTATTTGCAAAACCTATTATATGTTTCTTGATTCTCCTTTAATAAATTCAACTTAAACACCGTAAATAAACAAGAATATGCAACGAAAAATAAATAGACGTGTGTTGAAATCACTTTCCTATATTGGTTATATAATGAAAGTTCTCAAGTTCCGTAGTCTACATGCTCACCACATTTCTGACATATAAGTAAGGGCATACAAATAAAGTAAATCTCTACACCGCTACAGCAAGACTAAAAATAAACAAAAGAAATATGCCACTAAAGTGATAGATGTGACAAATTAGACATTAGATGCACACATGAAACAATAGCTACACCAATGAGGCCATGTCAAACTATTGCTAAAATAGCAAGGGCACATGAACTCACTGAAGCGAGACATTGATACCGACCGATTGCCATCGTAGGTCGACCGTATGTGTTGATTTTAACATTTTGTTGTTTCAATATTTTTAAAGGGTAAAATTAATTGGTCATTAATTAAATATAAAAAATTGCTGAATAGAAACAAGAAAGAAAAGTTTGGCGTTACCAAGATATCAAGCCTGCCAAATTTGGCGTGTATGAATTTGGCCAAGGAGTGGATGCTAACTGGATTCAAGACATCAAGTTGATGGAAGACAACATTTGACAGACCCAACTGTTGGAGCTTAGATGTTGCTTCTTTTCCCCTCTTCTCATCCCTGGCTGTCAACACCACCACCACCCCTTGAGATGCAAGCTGCCTCACCACCTCAAATCCAATACCCTTGTTTGCACCGCTAACCACTGCACATCTACAGTAGCGCAACCACTATGAAAATTTTAAAATCTTTTGTCCTTATTTTGCGACTGTTTGTTTGCAGTTTTTCTATATTTTACTTTTAAAAAATTGAAAACTGAGAGAAATTTTGAAAACTCAAATAGTTATCAAACGAGTTTCAAGTTGAAAAAAAAAAATAAAAAAAAAAACTGAAAACTAAGAACAAAATAATGATCAAATGTTTCTTTTAGTAACACCTAATCTTGCAAGGAGATAGTTAAATTAATTATAAAAGTAAATTAAAAACTCATATATATAGAGATTATATATGTACCTCTCTGTCTCTGCTCCATATTCTTGATTGGTTCCCATTCTTTGCTGTATATAATGCTTGGATTTGCCTTGTGATGATATTGCTTTCTTCCTGAAACTGTGGAGCTCAACAGATTATATATAAACTCGATCGAATCAAGTTCTGAGATTTCTTTCTCAGACAAAAATGAAAAAATAATTTCCTTTTCTTTCATTAATTATTATCAGATGATGACAGATTTGCTTGTATTTGGTTTATGTTTCTACATATGGCATGCATGTACCAACCAGAGCCAGTGTTTCGGTCAGCAATGATCATCTCATTGGACTGGCTTTCCAAATTCTTTTCTGGCGCGGGTAGGGTTTTTAATTTTTTATTATTCTTAGTGGCTGAGGTTTTTTATTTTAACATTTTCTAGCTCTTGGAGTCACATCACTTGAATGGGTCCAAGTTTTATACTCCAATAGTTGATGAGCTGATTACTTATATATATAATCAACGCTCTGGTAAGGAGTTTTCTGTTTGATAAAAAAAAAAACTGAAATCTAAAAGTAATGTTTCTCAAAACTCAATAGTAATTAAGATGATTGGTTTAGAAAATAAATTGCCGAAATTTAAAAATAAAATATTTAATAGTTGTAAAAGTACTCTAGGTATACCGTAGTACTGAATGCTACACCGAAACAATTATTAAGATCTCCACTTAAGGATGGGGAAATTTTTTCAAGCATCCGCCATTTTAAACGGGTATATCATGTGTTGCAAAATGATTGAAGGAGCATCCAAAAATATATATATATATTTTTCACTTATATTATGACCTGTAGAATGTCTCTTAGATACTTATACTTGAAAAAAAATCTGTCCTAAATATGATAGATAGGGGTTCTTTAGAGAAAGGTCCTTGAAACTCCTATTTTCCAAACAAAAACCCACATAATATTAAACATTCAAATAAAACCTAAAATTCAAATAGACTACCATGAAGACAAATATATAACCAATTATTACAACATATTTACAACTTATGCCACAAAACCCTAATTATGTCAATAAATATTATTACTCACCCTAATTATGATTAGCAATTAACCCCATATGGAAATTTTACCTTTCTTGTATCATAAATATTAGTAACATATATATATATATATATATATATATATATATATATATATGTTACTAATATGGGCACATTTTTCGTATGAAAAAAGAAAATCCTTTGTACAATCAGTTATTTTGCATCAAATAATATTGTTTGATAAAATAACAAATGACACACCCCGTCCCGAAGGAGGGCATGCTGGCCGTCACGTGAGAGTGACGTAACCATTTGCACAGTACGGAAGCTTTAAGATACAATTTATAAGTTGATACACCCGAAGGTGAGTCCTAATTTTGTCCAATCTGTCAGAACCCCGCTGTATTCCTCGTAGTCACCACACCTTTGTGATTCCTGAACCTGGAGGGGCGCAAAACCAAAATTGAGTGGGTCAGTAAAACAATTCTTTTCCAAATCCAAACATTTTTCAAAACGTTGTAACCCCTCTCTGTAAAACCTGTATATTTTCCCAGAAATGTAAAATATAAATATACATATATATTCTCAATATTTTAATTCATTAACTCAACATTTTTTCTTTATCAATCATGCCATGCCATGTCTAATTCAACAGTTAAGTATGGATGCATCAACAATAATCATATCAGGTGCAAGAAAGTAATCAACCGGAGGCCCTCTAATAGCCATGTACGGTTGAACCTAGAGCTCAAAATCTATCACTATCACTCTACCGGAGTCACCTCTGTGACCCGTCCGGCCTTCTGCACACAAGTTACGCTCTAGTGCTTCTCATAAATCATCTGTGCACATAATCTAAGGTCACCCACCAGTCGGAATCTCACTAACACTCTCGCGACTGGCCTGTCGTACCCACTCCGCGTGGACTGTACGACTAGCATCTACTTGGATCCAAGGCGAGCGTGCGATGCGGTGAATACTATAAGCACTAAACCATGGTGCAGGATTTGAGCTCAATATATATCATCATCATCATAACAGTAATTAAATACTCACCTGTGCGTCCACCGCACCATTTCATACATATGCATCATAAATCAATTCTTACCTGTGCGTCCACCGCACCAATTCATACATATGCATCATAAATCAATTCTTACCTGTGCGTCCACCGCACCAATTCATACATATGCATCATATATTAATTCATGCATGGCATTTCAACTCACATTTCTATATACTTTTCATATATACTTTTATGCATTTTCATTTAAAGCATAATTTCATGCATTTTCAATTTCTGGGAAACGTCAAGTATATATATATATATATATACGGAAAACAAAACTGCCCACTCACCTGGAGTTCGCCCTACAACTCCCTAGCACAATACGCCAAGGCGTCATGACGATCGGCGCCTAAAACAATAATCAATTCCAACCTCAGAATTCATATCGATAGAATATATAAACTTATATAAAATACGTCACTACGTAGATTGATCCGGAAGATCCACCACTCAGATTTTAATCCATAACTTCCAGAGGTCCACATTATACCTCTAGGACAACATCCTAAAATTTCATTACCATCCAACGGTCGGATCTCCGTCAATTTCCAAAACTAAGTGAAGTGACGGTTAACATTTTTATATTATGGACTTACAATTCCAATTCCGGAAGATCCGTAACTCGGATTCCCAATCCGTAAGTTCCAATAATCCTCAAATATTACGTATTACAACGTATCAAAGTTTGGTGACGATCCAACGGTCGGATCGTCAATTCACATTTTCACCTAAATGTGAAAATTATAAAACGTTATTTGAACACCTAACCAACAATCCTCAATAACTTTCTCATACGGTGTTCAATTTAGGTATATGAATATACCATAGTGATCTACTCGACGTCACGGACGTCGACATATTTTTAAAATAATTTTATTTTTATTTTTTATTTTTACTGTAGCACCTTCTTCTTCCTTGGGTCGCCGGACTGGTTTTTTCCGGCGGCCGTTTTTCTGGGCAGTTTTTCAAATTGCCATAACTTTGTCATTTCTCAACGAAATCAAGTGATTCAAAAACGAAAGTTGTAGCCCTTGAAGAGACAAAGAGAATGGTACCTTGCACAACACCTAGTTAGCCGTGGTTTTGGCCGGAAACTGCCTCGAAAGCCTCGGAGGTCGCCGGAAACTGGGTATTTTTCAAATGAGTATAACTTCTTCAATACTCAACGAAATTGAGTGAAACAAAAATGAAAGTTGTAGTACTTGACGAGACGACGAAGAGATTGATACCTATCTCGACTCCTAACTCGCCGGGGATTCGCCGGAAAACGCCTCGAAAGCTCCGGCCAAACTTTGAACTTGTCGATCTCCGTGTTCTTACGTCCAAAAACTTCCAACGAAGCACTCCGAGCTTCCTTGGGACATCCTAAAGCTCACTATGAGCTTGGTTTGGCCTAAAACACAACCAATTCAAAGCTCATGAACAGTACACATTCACGGCAACTTTAGAAACTAGGGTTTTCGAAGTGAAACTTACTTGAAATGGGTATCATCGTGATCGTATGGTCTTCAGGAGTACGATGGCACTCTTAAATCCGTCGTTGGTGGAAGTTTAGGGTGTTTTGTGGTGGTCTTGGTGGTTGCCGTGTGTTCGAGAGGGTGAGAGAGAGAGAATCTGAAATGGAAGAAGAAGAAGAGAAGGGAAAGGTTACGGAAAATGGGGAGGAAATTAGGGTATAGGACCCTACCTAAAGTCCCAACACAACAATAGCTTAGAAATTTTAGGTAAAACAAACACCAAAATTACGCACCTTAATCCCGTTTAAGGGCGTTTTTGTAATTTCACGTCCTCGGAATTAAAAATTCCGGGACGGGCTGTGACAATCTCCCCTCCTTATATAGAATTTCGTCCCCGAAATTCCAGCCACCAACCAAACTCTCAATACTAAAAAAAATAGCCTCGGATACATATCTCTCATCCGTTCTTTTGTCTCCCAAGTAGCTTCTTCTGCTGAATGGTTCATCCACAATACTTTTACCAAGCTCACGATCTTATTCCTCATAGTCTTATCTTTCCAATCCAGTATAGTCACTGGTTCCTCATCAAGTCGAATCCGGATTAATCTCCAAAGGTTGAACCAGAATCTTATGCGACAAATCTGCCACCTAGTGACAACGCATCGAACACAAAATACATTATGTGCCTTAGCCAATTCTGAAGGCATCACAAACTTGTATGCAACTTCATCGATTCCTTTAGTGATCAAAACGATCTGATGTGTCTAAGACTTATCTTGTCTTCCTTTCCAAATCTTGCTATTTCTTTTTCATGGTGAAATTTTCCAAAAATATCAAACCATTTACCTTACACACTCGATTAGTGGCATATCCATCTGTTGATCTCTTTTTGCCATTCATGGTTACTTCAGGTTAACTTAATCACCTTAATACTTTGAGGAGACTCATCCATAGTCTCAGGGTCTACTAAAACTCTTTCTTGATCGAATCTTTCTCTACCCAGAAACATTCCATTCACAAGTCATCAAAAAACCGACTCACATGACACATTTCATGGTCCTTTATGGCGTTACTTCGGAAACTGCACAACCAACATACTTAAGAAACTTAGCAGTTCCGTAATCTAATTCTCTTTTCCATAAAACAAATAAGTAGTGTTGCACTATCTGGGAAAGGTTGTTACTCAACACTGGAGTAAATGTACTAACTTGTTACTTAACAAGTATAACTTCTTCTCGATCTTCCATTCTTAATTTTTCTTCCGTTGGTTTTCAATCCACAAGATGATACTCTTGGCAACGTGCCAGATATTAATCTTACTGTAGTCTTCTCACCAAGTGCTTCAACTAGAACAAACTTTACGATCACCCTGATCGTACAATCATGTTCATTAAGCAATACAATTCACTTTCGCTGCCTCATATCAAAATCCTTCCAAGTAATGGATATTGAAGACTTTTTGGATTCGTAAAAAAAATCTTGCATTCCTACTAAAATATAATGTCTCCATAACTTCACAGCAAGAATGGTAATCGTGACTTCCAAATCACCAGTAGGGTAATTCATCTTATGAGATTCCATTCATCGTGGAACGTATGCAATCACCCTAACATTTGCATCAACATGCCTCCAATACCATTCAAGAAACATCACTAAAAATTTATGATTACCACTATTCTCTGGGAATACCA